GAGGAGACGAGCGGCGGGGAACCCCTCAAAGGGCCGGCTGAGGCATGAGAGCGGGTCCAACCACCCCTGCCCATCGCTGCCAGAGAGAGGAAAAGGGAGAAATCACCTCTGCCCTCATGTTCTCTGTGTTCCTGCAGCGCCGGTAGCCTGACTGCACCGCTGCCCCACGTGGACGTGCCGGGGGAGACCTTAGCTTAGCCCCGTGAGAGCTGCAGTGCCCTTTAGGACGGCGCAGGGAGACCCGCGGGACAGCCCCTGATTCCCAGCGAGAACTGAGGGTCCAGGCCCCAGGCACGTCAGCACCTGCCTGCCTACTGCTCGCTCTAAATGTCCCCTCGGTTTAGCCTTCGTGGTTAAGTTTTAGGAAGTGGCCACCGGACATTTTTTTTTTGCCCTAAGGGGTGACGTCACGGCAGGTGCACAGTCCAAGCTTGACCTGCCCGCTTGTTCTAGGTCTGACGAGGTGGGGCAGTGCCAGGATTCGGAGCTGCACACCAACTGGACAACTATGTGTTCTGACTGCAAAAGACTTGTTTAGAGGGTTCGTGCCCTTAAGAAATGTGTTCTCCAGTTGGGGAGGTAAGACATCTGCACACATGAAGGAAGTAATAAACCAAAACCCCGAAAAATCGCATCTGAGAGTGGGCCAGGTGCTTGCAAACATATTGGAACAAGCCTAGCCTTAGTAGATCCACTGTCACCATCATCCCCTCAGCACAGGCTCAACTAGCAGATCAGCCCTGCAACTCAGACTCCGCAGTTCCTGTGAGAACAACAAGCCTTCTTAGCAACTCCTGGGGCCTCCTAACTCTCCAAGCCTTGACCTTGTGGTGGGAACTCCCAGACCCCTGGCTGCCACAGGTCATGTGGCCAGCCATTCTCTCTGCAGACTTGTAATGGGTGTTCACTCATGTGGCAAGTTCCTTACTAGTCTGGGGAGACAGGACAGCCTGGACCTGCCTCCTGCTACAAGTCTGAAACTGGACCACATCCATGAGTGCTCTCCAGGAGTTCACCCAGCATTTGGCGGAAATATTAGCTAACATCCAGCATGCTGAAACTTACTTGCCATATCTCGTTGAAGTAACAGCTTTTCTCCTAAGCTCTTTTTTCTGACTGCCAGCTGCAAGGACGTGTCTTCGTTTTCATTCTGCTTGCTTTCCTGTCTACGTCTGAACACTTTCTCCTTAGGAGTCCACACTTTCCATAACTCCACTTTCTGCACCTCTCCTCTTTCCTCTCTGACCACTCTCCTTGGCTGGCTCTAGTCTCTGACTCTTAAATGTTGGGCTTTCCAGAACCAGCCCTGAATATCTTCCTGTATACAACTTGTGTCACGCTGTCATGTTCCCACAATGTCAACTACCATCCCTGCCCTGAGGAAGCCTGAACACTAGTTCTGGTTGTCCCACAGGCCCATCAAGCGTAACAAAGTCCAAAATCATACTCTCAACCTCCTTTTCCTCTGCCTTGTCACCAAACCATCCAAACTAGAAATCTCTGTATTGTCCACAACTCTTTCTATGTCGGCTCTTTTTAAGATGTATTTATTTGAAAGGCAGGATGAGGGGTGGGGGTGGGGGAAGGCACAGATCTTCCATCTGAATGGTTCACTTTCCAAATGACCACAATGGCCAGGCTAAAGCCAAATTCCTGGAACTCCATCTGGGTCTCCTAATGGGGGCAGGGGTCCAACCAGTTGGGCCGTGTTCTCTGCTGCTGTCCTAGGCCCATTAGCAGGAAGCTGGATCGGAATTAGAGCAGCGAGGACACTCATATGGGATGTCAGCATCCCGAGTGGCAGCTTAACCCACTGGGCCACAATGCCAGCCTCTCTGTGTCATCTCTTTTTTTTTTTTTTTTTTTTTTTTTTTTTGACAGGCAGAGTGGACAGTGAGAGAGAGAGAGAGAGGTCTTCCTTTTTTTGCCGTTGGTTCACCCTCCAATGGCCACTGCAGCCGGCACAATGCGCTGATCCGATGGCAGGAGCCAGGTGCTTCTCCTGGTCTCCCATGCGAGTGCAGGGCCCAAGCACTTGGGCCATCCTCCACTGCACTCCGGGCCACAGCAGAGAGCTGGCCTGGAAGAGGAGCAACTGGGACAGAATCTGGCGCTCTGACCTGGACTAGAACCCGGTGTGCCGGCGCCACTAGCGGAGGATTAGCCTAGTTAGTGCAGCGCCAGCCTATCAGTAGCTTCTAGCTATCTTCAGCTCTGCTCTATAGTGCAGAGTGATCTATCTGATTGCTCCTCAGAGTCCTAGTCGTCTTTGGCTGAGCTTTTGGTCTCCCGGTCTTTGCTCTCCCCTTGCCCTTCCCCACTACCCTTGACGTAGGTGCACACGTTTCCCTTTTACCAAGCCAAGTCTGCCATACGCCTTCGTATGTCCTTCCTTTGTCTCATCCTGTTCTCCCTGGCACTGACCAAGGGCTTCCCATGTTATCATGCTATGACACATACAAACTCATAATCCCCACTTCAACCCCTGTCCGCTATGCCTCCTTAGTATGCCTGTTCTAAGGACAAAACTGAAGCAGAGAGATTGAGTAACATAACTAAGTTTCCATAGCAAATAAGCAGTAGAGCTGAGATTTAAACCCAAATAGTCTGGCTACAGAGTCTGTTCTCTTAATCACCACACTGTCTGTTCTACCAAGACCTTAATAATCAACTCATAGACCGTCTTCCTGGTGTGTCCTGACTCATCCCTGGGTTCCAGCAGTTTGGCTTGTTTATACTTCTAGTATTCTTATGATGTCATATGATAATCATTTACCTACATGGCCATCTCCTCAGCCAGACCACTGCTCCAGGCCAGAGATCTGAATGCACATATCCTGCAGTTTTCAGTGTCAAAGCAAGTGCCTGACATCATGAGTTATGTGTATATATGCAACACAGCACTCGGTGGGTAAATGAAAGGAGATATCTAACTGATGTCTACAGATCTGTCTCAAGATCTGCCTGTATCGTTCGTCATTGTAATGGAATCGTCTGTTCTCCTTGGCAGATGTGTGTTATACCATATGGTCAGATGGTAAATGTAGTAGCAACTGTACCCATTACCACATTTCCTAGCTACAGTACTGAATGTGAAATAGCAAATTATTACTTAGTCATCATTAGTGAGGGAAACATATTTGTTAAAATTTTCCTGATTGTTTTTAAAATGGAAAAACGGGTCCTGAAGTTAAAGCATAAATTATAATATTTGATTATCAAAACAATGCTTAGTAAAAAATTCATATTACATTTTGATATGAGACTTCAAATATTTAAGTTAAGGCTTTGAGCTGTCTCAAGTACAGAATTTCTAAAGATTATTTTCTATATTAGTCTTAATACAGTAATAAGATATATGGAAATATCTAGCTGAAATCTGCTATCCTGTTTCTTTCCTCTCTCCCTTGCCCCCCCACATTCACTGTACATCTAATGCTATGTACACATTAAAATACAGAATATTTGTAGATTTGTGGTATTTCAAGGTAAAACATCCAATTATTTGAAAATAATGTTGTTGCAAGAAAAACTTAAAAATTCATTTTAGGATGAACAACACTCACTGATAAAATAATTGCAGGTCTGTTTAAAGAAACATATAAAACTAAGCATTCCATAGTCTTAGAATCCGTCTTTAGCAGAGAGAAAGAGCAGAAGTCTGAAAAGGAGCTTGCTAACATTTCTGGTAGTTCATCGAGCTAAAATTAAGTCTGCAGGATGGCTGTGTGCGCATAGTGATGGTTCAAAAGCGCTAGTCTGGGATGTGCAGCCGCCGCCGCCCTCCCACACTTAACCTGGGTGGACTCAGGTTTGCCCAACATTTACATAAATGTGCCTCTCAAATTCAAACTTACCTATTTATAACTATGTAAGAGTAAATGAGATTGACTGACACAGCCTATTTTAGTTTGAGTAAAACATGACATTTAGATCTTATCAACCCAGATTATAACAATGTTTTAAAGGCTGAAGCAGACAGGATTGGGCCTGTAGGTCAGACATGAGCCCTCGTGTGGCCACAAAGACATCTAGTAAGAGAAGCATAGACCCAAGTTCACACTGGACTCACCAGTGTTGGGGTTAGAAGTAAGAGTCTTTCAGGACTCTTTACTCCAGACTCTGAATGCTTTGGCTAGGAACCCTCGGGGCAGATGCTGTGGCTCAGGAGGTGAAGCCACGACCCGCAGCACTGGTATACCATATCAGAGCACTGATTTGAGTCTTGGCTGCCAAGCTTCCAATCCAGCTCCCCGCTAATGTGCCTGGGAAGACAGTGGAAGGTGGCTCAAGTACTTGGGCCTTTGCCACTCACGTGGAAGACCTGGATGGAGTTCCTGGTTCCTGGCTTCAGCCTGGCCCAAGCTGGCTATTGCAGCTATTTGAGGGAGTGAACCAGCAGGTAGAAGACCTCTCTCTCTCTCTCTTTCCCTCTCTTTGTAACTCTGCCTTTCAAATAAATAAATTTTTTTAAAAAAGAGGAATCCTAAAAAAAATTTAAAAAAAAAAAAAAAAGAGGAATCCTTAATGAAGACAAAGGAGTTGAGGCCAGTGCTGTGGCAAAGCAGGTAAAGGCACTGCCTGCAGTGCCAGCATTCCATATGGGCGCCAATTTGAGTCCCTGCTGCTCCACTTCCTATCCAGCTCTCTGCTGATGTCCTGGAAAAGCCGTAGAAAATGGCCCAAGGCCTTGGGCCCCAGCACCCATGTGGAAGACCGGGAAGAAGCTCCTGGCTCCTGGCTTCAGATCAGCTCAGCTCTGGCCACTGCAGCCATTTGGAGAGTGAACCAGCGATGGAAGACCTCTCTTTCTCTCTCTCTCTGCCTGTGCCTCTCTGTAATTCTGCCTTTCAAATAAATTAAATCTTAAAAAAAGAAAGACAAAGAAGTCAACCTCAGGGGTTGTCCCTAGAAAATTGGGCCTCATTATCTTTTTTCAAAAGAAGCAACAAAAGCAATATTCCAGTGGGTCACCATCTATATAGAAACAGAATATTCACCAGAGCCAGTCTGTCACCTCAAGGTACATGTGGATCTGTTGATTTTAGCTGCTCCACACTCATGGTAGAGGAATGGACTTGGCAGTAGCAGCTGAGACTGGAGGGCCAGCAATGGGAAACTACCCAAGACCACCACTGATGATGTCACAATGGCCCATTGTCCCAGAGTAAGCTTTCTGGACCTCCCTGCCCAGGTGAGCTCAGTCACTCCAGGATGAGACCATGGCTTAGTCTGGGGTGTTTGTCCTGGATAGTTCTGTTCAGTTATAAAAATTGAATTCTTTGAGACCACAATGGCTGAAATAGAAATGAAATAGGGAGCTAGCTGGGTAGAGGAGCCTCTAGAGTCCCAGGGATTACTTCTGGTATCCTCATCAAGGCATTTTCCAATGATGATGGCCGAGGGATGCTGGGATTGAATCAACCCCTGCTCCCCTGTCTTCATTCAATGGATAACACTTCAAGGCATGGCGTTTCTCTGGGCCTCAGTATTCTCAATTGCAAAATCAGAATGGGTTGAGTTATATAAGTTTCCATCAAACCCTAAGTTTGATTCTTTCCTGGGTAGGCTAGAGCTGCCCTCAAAGAAAGAAAATAGTGGCAGGCATTTGGCCTGCAGTTTAGATGCCCACATCCCATAGGTGAGTGCTTGGATTTGATTCTCAGCTCTGCTCCCTCTCCCAGACTCCCACCAGTGCAGATCCTGGGAGGCAGCAATGATTAGGTTCCTGCCAATCCCATGGGAGACCGGAGTTGAGTTCCCAGCTTCTGGCTTCAGCCTGGCCCAGTCCCAGCTGTGGTGGGCGTTTGGGGAGTGAACCAGCAGATCCAGGGGAGAGAGCTCTCTTGCTCTCATACACACACTCTCTCTCTGTCCTTCCATTTTTCTCACTCAAAAAAGTATAGCCCTTGGCATTCATCCATCTATACATTCATTTACTCTTCAGTGAACAATGAAGGTCAACAATCTGTGAGAAACACAATGCAAACCACTGGGTAGGGTAGATATGAAATTTTTCATTTCCTCATAGTGAGTTTTATACAATTTTAAAAAAAATCCTCAGCTATTTATTTTTAAAATTTAACTCAATATATCCAAAATATCAGCATTTCAACATGTATTCAATATGAAAATTATTGATGTTTTTACTTTCTTTCATAGCAAGTCTTTGAAATTCAAGGTATATTTTACATAGAAAGTATGTCAGTTTGGATTAGTCACATTTGAAGTGCTCAGTTGTCACATAAGTGATGGCTTCCATATTGGCCAGCCAGGCCCAGGAAGTAACTGGTCTGGAGTAAATTCACTCACTTGGGAGTAGTAAGTACTCTAACATTCAAGAAATAATTGAAAACTAAAGTAAACCTTATATAAATATAACCAGCTACAAACAGAAATATTTAGCATTTGGGAAATTTACAGTATAGCACGTGGACAATAAGAATAAGAATTCTTTTTTAAACTATTTATTTTTAAAAAGATCTATTTATTTATAGATCTTTTTAAAAAGATCTATATATTTATGAAAGGCAGAGTTACAGAGAGAGCAGGAGAGACAAAGAGAGAGAGAGAGAGATTACATATGCTGGTTCACTCCCCAAATGGCTGCAAAAGCCGGGGCTGAGCCAGGCTGAAGTCAGGAACCAGGAGCTTTTTCCAGGTCTCCCACACAGATGCAGGGGCCCAAGCACTTACGCCATCCTGTAATTTCCCCAGGCACATTAGCAGGGAGCTGGATCAGAAGTAGAGCAGCCAGGACTCAAATCAGTGCCCATATGGGATACCAGCACTGCAGGCAGTGGCTTTACCTGCTACACCACCACACCAGCCCATTAAAGATTTTTATTGTTTATTTGAAAGTCAGCATGAAGGGCCAGCACTGTGGTGTAGCAGGTGGAGCCACTGCCTACAGTGCCCACAAGCCAGCTGCTCCACTTCTGATCCAGTTCTCTGCTATGGCCTGGGAAAGCAGTAGAAGATGGCCCAAGTCCTTGGGACCCTGCACCCACGTGGGAGGCCCAGAAGAAGCTCCTGGCTCCTGACTTTGGATTGGCACAGCTCCGGCCATTGCGGCCAATTGGGGAGTAAACCATTGGATGGAAGACCTCTCTCTCTCTCTTTCTCTTTCTCTGCCTCTCCACTCTCTCTGTAACTCTGACTTTCAGATACAAATAACTAAGTAAAAAAAAAAAAAAAAAAAGGCAGAGTGAGAGAGCGAGAAATATCTTCCATCAGCTGGTCCATTCCCCAAAAGACTATTATGGCTGGGATTGGGCCAGGCAGAAGCCAAGAACCAGGAACTCTGTGTCTCCCATGTGGTGGCAGGGGCCCAAGAACTTGGGCCATCTTCTGTTGCTTTCCCAGTTTCATTAGCAGAGAGCTGGATCAGAAGTGGAACAGGTGCTCATGTGGGATGCTGGCATTGCAGGCAACAACTTAACCTGCTGTGCCACAACACCGGCCCCAATATAAATGTTTTCAATGCGTATAGCAGACTAGGAAAAAAATCTGTGCAAACTCATAACTGTCTCCCATGTCCCAATGATTTCCCTGACCCTGCACATGTCATCCTGTTAAATGTAATTTCTGTACAAGGTATTTCCAGTCAAAACAAGCTGTATCAAACACAGAAACACATTTCACAAGGGCTGTAGAGTTTTGAGGTGTTTTTTTCAGGGCTATATAGTCAACGGGTAGATGCCATTTTCTTATTTCTGTCTTGATCCATCACCCTTTTCAAATAAATTATTTAGGAAAAGTGAGGGAAAAGAGTTTGGGGAAAGGAAGCATTTTGTGAAAATACTGTAAGACTAAAAATATTATCAGGGTTTGGTTAGCCTATAGCAAAATGTGAAAGAGAAAAAAATCAATAAAAATAACAATGCCTAGTAACACAAGGTGATTATGCTGAAAATGTATCTTGTATGGCCGGTGCCATGGCTCAGTAGGCTAATCCTCTGCCTGCAGCGCCGGCACCCCGGTTCTAGTCCCGGTCGGGGCGCTGGATTCTGTCCCGGTTGCCCCTCTTCCAGGCCAGCTCTCTGCTGTGGCCCGGGAAGGCAGTGGAGGATGGCCCAGGTGCTTGGGCCCTGCACCCCATGGGAGACCAGGAGAAGCACCTGGCTCCTGGCTTCAGATCAGCGCCGTGCACTGGCCGTAGCGCACTGGCTGCAGCGGCCTTTGGGGGGTGAACCATCAGAAAAGGAAGACCTCTCTCTCTGTCTCTCTCTCTCACTGTCCACTCTGCCTGTCGAGAAGACATACAAAAACAAAAAACGAGAGAGAGAGAGAGAGAGAGATGGAGAATGTACCTTGCATGGAAAGAGGAAATCATTGAAGATATCGAAGTGGGTTGCTCTGTTGTGGAAGACCAGGGAGAAGCAAGAAGAAGGTGAGATTCTGTGAGTGTGGTGTGGAAGCTCTCCATTGACCAAAGGCCAAAGAAAGGAAAACCCTGTGGGCACGAATCACCACACTGAAACAAAATCATAAACTTTCAAACATTTGGAGAGAGACAGCTTTATTTTCTTAACGACCTGACAATAGGCGAGTCTTGCCAGAGTGGGGGTTGGGTCCAGAGGAAGGAAACACCACAGTCAGGGGCAGGCCGGTCAGGTGAGCTCTGGGAAGGCGTTGGTGACAGCACAGTTGGCAGATCAGGTCTGGCTGGAAAGCACAGCCGGCAGGAGGGGTTAAGGGAGAGGACGGGATTATTTTCATTGTTGATCGATAGCATCCCATCCTACAGAGCAACAGCAGAGCTGTGAAATGCGTAAGAGGACACCTCATTCAGTCTGTGCAGACGCAACAGGCCTGCATACCTCGGGTGAAGTCTGTGGCTCAGTGCCCAGGTTCTTAGTTCAGCATCACAGAGCCAGGTATTTGGTTTGATTCGGTGCCTAAGAAGGGGCTAAGAGTTGATTCCAATCCTTCGGAAAGATGTTTTCCAAAAGCAGTGATGAAGAGTATTGAATATCAGTCATGAAGCCCCTGTCGCTGGAGTTTTTCCCCTCTGGGATGTTTTCTTCCATCACTTGAATCCCTCAGAACCTTCTCTTTGCCTTTTTGTTGCTGTTATGTAACTTACCACCTGAAGAGCGGCATCAGCCTGGAAGCCTCTGAAGCGGACTGTGAGAGAGCCATGGAATCGGATGACTGTATTTGGCTGGCCCGTCACCATCTGACTGGGAAAATCATGTCCCTCTTAGATGTTCAGTATCTGTGTGTGGCAGTAAACAGAGAAGTTTGAATTAAATAAATTCCTGGTTTCCTTCCAACTTCGAATCTGAGCTTTGCTCAAAATTCCGGGAAGTGTAATTGTTCTCATCCAGTCGTCTATTTCAACATTCAATGAACAGTGGGAAGTGCAAGGAAGAGGAAGAGAAAGCAACACGGTTCTGGCACCCCTGCCCAACCCCCCAACCCAGGCAATTGGGAGCAAGCCGCGTGGAGGCTGTGGGAGACGGGAGCGTGTCCCCAAGAACGCTGTGCCACATCTGCGCCTGGGGAGCCAGGACAGTGGCCACATGGCGCAGCACAGCGTGGGCTTTGGGCTCCTCCTGTCACTGCTTGAACTACACTGTGCTGTTCATTAATGAAAGTGATCACGCTGACACATTTCCTGACACTCTGAGCCTCAGTTTCCACATCCCTAAAATACCCACTCCACGATGTTGTATACAGAGGAAATGCTGGGTCCAGCATTGCAGCACAGCAGGTTAAGCTGCCGCCTGCGACACTGGCATCACGTATGAGCACTGGCACACGTCACTGCTGCTCTACTTCCCATCCAGCTCCCTGCTAATGTGCCTGGAACAGCAGTGGGAGATAGCCCAAGTGCTTGGGTCCCTACCACCCACATGGGAGACCCGGATGGAGTCCCAGAATCCTGGCTTTGGCCTGGCCCAGTCCCAACCGTTGCAGCCACATGGGGAGTGAATCAGCTGTTTCTCCTTCCCTCTCTCTAACTCTGCCTTTCAAGTCAATAAATAAATCTTAAAAAAATAAAATAAAATAAAAGATGGGGGGGTACTGTGGCATGATGGGTTAAGCTGCTGGTGTCAGCTCTGGCATCCCATATGGTCGCCAGTTGGAGTTCTAGCTGCTCCCCTTCTGATCCAGCTTCCTGCTAATGGCCTGGGAAAAGCTCCTGGCTTTGGCCTGAC